GAAAAGGGCATGAATAGCCAAAGCAATCCCATGCACAAAGAATAAGCTGAAGCATCAAATTACCTGATCTAAATTAACTACAGGCTATAGTAACCAAAACAGCATACACAAGCAGAAAAATAGACATATAAATGAATGGAACAAAATGGAGAGAACAGAGAACCAGGAAATGAAGACACATACATCTATACACTGGTCTTCGACAAATCAACAAAAATATGCAACAGAGACAATACTTCCTATTCAACAAATGGTGCTGGGAAAATTGGATAGACATATGCAGAAGAATAAAACTGGGTCCCTGTCTGTTACCATATAAAATATTAACTCCAGATGCATTAAAAATTCACACATATGACCTCAAACTACAAAAATTCCTAGAAGTAACCTAGGAAAACCTCTTCAGGACATTGGCCGAGGCAAAGAATTAATGACTAAGACCATAAAAGCAAACGCAATAGAGCAACAATAAACAAGTGGGACTTCGTTAAACTGAAAAGTTTCTGCACAGCAAAAGACATAATCAGCTGAGTAACTCAACAACCTACCACATGAGAGAAGATATCTGCAAAATACACATTATTATAACAGATGACTAATATTTGAACCTACAAGGAACTCAAACAACTCAACAAGAAAATGACAGCCCTTTTAAGAGGCAAAGGATATGATCAGGTACTTCTCAAAAGAAAATATACAAGTAGCAATAAACATGAGAAGATGTTAACATCACTACTAATCAGAGGAATGCAAATTAAAATCACAATGAATATCATCTCACACCAAGTCAAGATGGAAATAACAGATGTTGCCTAGGATGGGGAGAAAAAGAATATAAATTAGTACTACTTCAATGGAAAACAGTATGGAGATTTCTCAGAGATAACAATAGATGACCATCTGAACCACTAAACCCACTATGGGCACCTACCCAGTGGAAAATATATTATTACTAAAAAAGACACCTGCACTTGTACGTTTATCATAATAGCAAACCCGTGAAATCAACTACGTGTACATCAACAGCTGACGGATAAAGGAAATAGGGTATGTACACACCATGGAATTCTATTTAGCCATAAAATACAATGAGAGCACGTCTTTGGCTTCAAAAGGATGAAGCTAGAAGCCATTATCCTACATAAAATAACTCAGACATAGAAAATCAAATACAACATGTTCTCACTTAAAAGTAGGAGGTAAACAATGGATACATATGAACAGTTTCAAAGGGCAATAAAAGACCTGGGGACTCAAAAGGGTGGAGAGTGAGTTGGGGCTGAGGGTTGAAAAATGCCTGTGGGCATAATATTCATATTTGGGTGATGGATCCACTAGAAGCCCAAACCCCACCACTATGCGGCATACGGTGTCACAAACCTGCACATGTTACCCCCTGAATCCATAAAATAAAAATATAAAGAAAAAAGGAAAAAATGGCTATACATACAAAAAAAGTACATACAATCATTTATAAAGGATTTGAAAATACTGTTATCCTTTCAGTTAAATAACCACTAAGTATTTTAAAAATGGGTGGAAGTCCAGAAGTAGATCTAATAAGCAGGGGAACCACACTGAAATTTGTACCAAATAAAGGTGAAATGCTTCCCACTCCCTTTCTTCTGCAAAATGTTATCTTTAATTTATTCTTCAGCTCACACACCAGACAAATAACAGACACCATTTCTTCCCTACTACAAATAAATGTTTCTAGTTATGGTAAGATTAATATATTTTGATTTAAACCACTCTTAACTAAATTTTAGCTTATAAATAAGACTACACATCTTCTTCCTTCTAACGTTTAGAAGTCTATGATTTGTATCTTAAGAAAATTATTGGAAATAACCACACTACATTTTTTTAAAAAATTGGTCACATTAAAAGCATTTGGAAAAGAAGAAGCTCCTAAAGCCAGCAAAGCTATATACTAGTCAAAATATAAATACACACAAAAATAGAAACTAGCAATTAATTTAGAATTCTTCACAATCACGCTAATAAAAAGTTATCATCAATGGTTATAATGCTACTATGGAACTACATAAGAAAGAAATTAAATAACACATATCAATAATTTATTGTTATTCCTAATTAGAGAAAATTTTAAAGTGTAGTTCTACGGTGTTGTACAAAAAATTCTCAACTATAATGAAATAAATAGGTATCAAATATAGTGTATCAGTCAATTTCATACTGAATGAGCAAAAACTGGAAGCATTCTGTTTGATAATTGGCCCAAAACAAGGATGCCCTCTCTCATCACTCCCATTCAACATGCTATTGGAAGTTCTGGCTAGGGCCATCAGTAAGAAAAAGAAATAAAGGATATTCAAACAGAAAGGATATTCAAATAGTCCCTGTTTGCAGGTGATATGTTTGTATATTTAGAAAACCCCATTGTCTCAGCCCAAAAATCCTTAGGCTGATAAAGAACTTCAGCAAAGTCTCATGATAAAAAATCAATGTGCAAAAATTGCAAGCATTCCTATACAATAATAGACAAACAGAAAGTCAAATCATGAGTGAACTCCCATTCGCAATTGCTACAAAGACAATAAATACCTAAGAATACAACATCCAAGGGAAGTGAAGGACCAGAACTATGAATCACTGCTGAAGGAAATAAGAGAGGACACAAACAGATGGTAAAATATTCCATGCTCATTGTTAGGTAGAATCGGTGTCATGAAAATGGCCATACTGCTCAAAATAATTTATAAATTCTATGCTATCCCCATCGAGCTACCAATGACTTTCTTCACAGAGTTGGAAAAAAAACACCTTAAACTTCATATGGAACCAAAAGAGAGTCTGCATAGCCAAGGCATTCCTAAGCAAAAAACAACAACAAAAAAAAAAAAAAAACAAGCTGGAGGTGTCACCCTACCTGACTTCAAACTATATTACAAGGCTACTGTAATCAAAACAGCATGGTACTGGTACCAAAACAGAGATATAGACCAATGGAACAGAACAGAGGCCTCAGAAAGAACACCACACAACTACAACCATCTGATCTTTGACAAACTGACAAAAATCAGCAATGGGGAAAGGATTCCCTATTGAATAAATTGGCTGGGAAAACTGGCTAGTCATGTGGATAAAGCTGAAACTGGACCCCCTTCCTTACATGTTATACAAAAATTAACTCTAGATGGATTAAAGATTTAAACATGAGCCTGAACACCTCAAAACCCTAGAAGAAAGTCTAGGCAATACCATTAAGGACATAGACATGAGAAAGACTTCATGACTAAAACACAAAAAGCAATGGCAACAAAAGCCAAAATAGACAAATGGGATCTAATTAAACTTAAGAGCTTCTGCACAGCAAAAGAAACTATCGATAGAGTGAACTGGCAGCCAAAGGAATGCGAAAAAATTTTCGCAAGGTACATATCTGACTAAGTGCTACTATACAGAATCTATGGCAAACTTAAATTTACAAGATAAAAAAACCCCATCAAAAAGTGGCCAAAGGATATGATAGACACTTTTCTAAAGAAGACATTTATGCAGCCAACAAACATATGAAAAAAAACTCATCACTGGTCATTATAGAAATGTAAATCAAAACCACATTGAGATACCATCTCACGCCAGTTAGTATAGCAATCATAAAAAAAAAAAGGAGACAACAGACGCTGCAGAGGATGTGGAGAAATAGGAACACTTTTACACTGTTGGTGGGAGTGTAAATTAACTCAACCATTGTGGAATAGAGAGTGGCGATTCCTCAAAGATCTAGAAATAGAAATATCATTTGGCCAGCAATCCCATTACTGAGTATATACCCAAAGGATTATAAATCATTTTATTATAAAGCCAAATGCACACATATGTTTATTGCAGCACTGTTCACAATAGTAAAGACTTGGAACCAACCCAAATGCCCATCAATGATAGACTGGATAAAGAAAATGTGGCACATATATACCATGGAATACTACACAGCTATAAAAAACGATGAGTTCCTTTCCTTTGCAGGGATATGGATGAAACTGGAAATCATCATTCTTACCTAACTGATACCAGAATACGAAACCAAACACCTATAAGTTCTCACATATAAGTAGGTGTTAACAATGAGAACACACGGACCTAGAGAAGGGAACATCACACACTGGGGCCTGGGGGCTGGGGGACTAGCGGAGGAATAGCAGGTGTGGGGTGATTGGGGATGGAAAGCTTTAGGAGAAATACTTGATGTAGATAATAGGGCAATGGATGCAGCAAACCACCACCATGGCATGTGTACACCTATGTAACAAACCTTCATGATCTGCACATGTACCCCAGAATTTAAAGTATACTAACGACCCAAAAAATAAATGTACAGTCTATATTCATTCCCAGTGAAAAATATTAACTTTGACAAATTATTGTTCAAAGAGCACAGAAAATATCACGATATTCAAGTATTTTATTGATCTGAGATGTAAGAATTTTTGTATGAGTATATAGTGTTATTTAGAGTGAACAGACGGCCAGGCACAGTGGCTCACACCTGTAATCCCAGCACTTTGGGAAGCCAAGGCAGGAAGACCTTAGGTCAGGATTCAAGACAAGCCTGACAACACGGTGAAACCTGTCTATACTGAAAATACAGAAAATTTTGCTGGGTGTGGTGGTGCACCTGTAATCCCAGCTACTTGGGAGATTGAAGCAGAAGAATCACTTGAACCCAGAAGGTGGCAGTTGCAGTGAGCTGAGATTGCGCCACTGCACTCCAGCCTGGCCAGAGAGCTAGAGTCTGTCTCAAATACATAAATAAATAAAGTGAAGAGGCTCAAATTTAAGCTTCCTGTTCTTTCATAAGGTCTGTGGTAAATCACAAAAGCCTCCTTCACATCCCTGAAGTATAGCAATAAAACTATCTAATATATCCTAATTTTCTTGCTGCATAATTTCTGCCACTAACAAATGTTATTTTTCAGAACAAAATAAATATTTAGAATGCACACCTTTCTTTATTATAAATATTATAATGTGACGAATACTAATATAATTACTCTCTACCAGATGTTCTCTATTTTTGCATTTGTAAAAGTGGAAACATTTTCTGTTATTCTTTATAAAGTATACACTAAATATTTATACCAAGCCAAATCCTGTACTGTATATGCAAATCGGTAAGATTCTCCAATACAATACATACCCAATCCTTTGCTTAATCCTTAAGAGGACTCTGATTTTTCATCCTTTCTCATTAAAATCCATGAATGGAAAAATCTCTTCAACAGCTTTTCCTGTTAATGCATTTGTCTGTGAACATAACCTAGACGCAAGGAAGAAAAAATATGTGAACATTCCACATGTGTATTGTGCTAAAATAACCATCTGATAGTCTAAGGATGAAAGATACATAATATGTATTGAAAGGTAAAGTAAAAGTATCATCTTGGTCACAAACAGACACCTATTACAATATACTGAAGTTCTCAAGGATGTCTAAGCCTCGTCATGGGAAAGTACTAGGTGCACACAATGTAAAGAATTATCATAGCTTCCAATTGTCAGTATGAGAAGATTAAATAGCTCAGTTCCTTTCTTCTTTTTTCATAGGCTGAGTTTATCTTCCTTCTCAGAATTATCACAGAACAGTACTGACAAACTTCAAAGACAATTGTAACTACATTTTGAATTTTCATTTTCGAGCAGTATTTTACAAAATGATGATGACAGTTGTCCCTGCCAAATATAGCATGAAAATTCAGGCTCTAGTTGAGTTAGAAGATTTAAATAAAACATGGATCAATGTGACATTCATTGTTCTGTTAGTAAAAGTAAATTGGGAAGAAATTATAAAGCCATTCGCAATTTAGCAAGGTAAATCATTTCAGTTGAAACAATACTCTAAACATGACAGAAAAATAATAATCTTTGTCACCTCCCATGTGGGGACAATTGTTCTTGCTTCCTACCTCATCTCACTGGTGTGTATTTTCTTACTGCAGTTATCTGTACGACACTGTCAGATGATCTTCTTAAAAACTGCATTCACATCTCTGATCAAATGCTTCTATGGGTACCAAAAGTCTACAAAGAAACAAAAACAATAATTCATTAATGAAACTGAATGCTGTCTTTTATTGGTCTCAGCTTCCAGACTTACCATTCACTCTCTGTCTCTGTGGCCTTTTTCTCTAGGGACACTGCCATAGTCACGGCTTCCTCAGCTCTTATTCTCACCCTTCTACCGTCTGTTTCCTCACACAGTTCCAATCAATGCAACTGCTGTCTGTTTTGTCTTATTTTTAAAAGTCTATGAATATCCACATTTACAAGAGTAACTTATAGCCATTCAAATCAGGAAAGTAACAAATATAATTTTATAAAAGTTAAAAATATCACTTTTCTTTTTAAACTGATTATAATGAAGAATCTGGTCTGATGCCTTCCCATTTTTCTATATACCGTCCAAACCACAGTAGCTACTAAATAATATTACTTATTATTATGGATATTTTGGTTATATGCCTCAAAAATATGTTTTCCAATCACTCTTACTAAATATGTGTGTGATTGTGTGAGTGAACACCTACAAACACACAAACACACACACATATTCATGGTTTGCAATTATTTTTAGCAGCCTGTTTTAATATGCTTTCTCTATACCAATTTTTGTTGTTTATTTCTCTTACAATTTCCTCATTCCACTCAGTTATAAATGTATTCTCCTTTACAGATTATTTTTACATTGTAAGTACAAAGCTTTAGTTCATCTGGGGTGTGTGTGTGTGTGTGCGCGCGTGTGTGTGTGATGAGTAATACAAGAGCCTTAATCTTCTCCTCCACCTCCCTCATTGTATTCTCATGTTCAAATTTCTTCAAACAAAATAGTAGAGAATACATTTTATTTAAAATTTCAATCACCTCCTATGTTTTACTTCAATCTCCTGATAGTCAACCATCAACCACGATGAGTGAAAGATCTGCATTTACCGTCCAACTCAGTCTTTCATTTTTTCACCTACTGATGTGTCTCACCTTTTGTCCTGTCACTCTGGTAACAGGTGTTTTTTTTAGGTAATAAATATCCTTTCTTATTACTTAACAAATAATAGATTTTAGTAAATATGTTAAACTAGAAATATATAGAAATGATTAAACTAAAATGGCCAGGTGTGACGGCTCACAACTGTAACACCAACACTTTGGGATGCCAAGGTGGGAGGATCATTCAGCCCAGGAGTTTGAAACCAGTCTGGGCACCATAGGAACACCCTGTATACAAAAATAAAAAAAAGAGCCGGGCCTGGTGGTGCATGCCTGTAGTCCCAGCTACTAAGGAGGCTGAGGTGGGAGGACTGCTTAAGCCTGAGAGCTCAAAGCTACAGTGAGCCATGATCAGACCACACCACTGCACTCCAGCCTGGGTACACAGCAAGACCCTGTCTCAAGAAAAAAAAATTTTTTAAGGAAAAAGAAACAATTTAATCATGTAGTCCTGAAACTACTATGTAGAATACTATTGTCTACATCACATCACATCAGCCCTTTAAATGGCTTAACACTTGTTTAGGTATGATCCCTAAAGTTCTCCTGGTAATTAAGGACAGGTAAGAACAATTAAGTAGAAAAGAGTTACTGCCTTGACAGGAAGATTGTAAACATTTTTAAAAGACAAATAATAAAAGAGTCAAAACTGTAGCTCTGTGAGGCCCAAATAACATCTAATTCAAGTCACAATGAACGTCTAGCAATCATTCTGAACACTATATAATTCACTTAATGCATTTTGCCCTGAACACCCAACAGATCTGACTTACCAACACCTGTATGTAGCCAAGAAATTGACAATCAATTATAAATTACCACCTGTGACCTCCATCTCTCTACCCACTTTTTACAAATCATTTATTTATTTTATTTTATTTTGTAGAGACGGGATCTCACTATGTTGCCCAGGTTGGCCAGAAACAGACCCACACTAATTTCATAAATCAGATGACCATTACAGCCATCCGATTTATGAAAAAAAAGTGCCCTACAGTACAGAAGGGCAAGGATGGTCTTTTCAATACATGGTGCTGGATCAAGCAGTCACATCCATGTAGTAAAAAGTGAATCACAAGCCAGGTGGGGATGGTCACACCTGTAATCCCAGCACTCTGAGAGGCTGAAGCAGGCAGACTACTTGAGCCCAGGAGTTCCACACCAACCTGGGAAACATGTTGAATAATCCTCATCTCTACAAAAAATATAAAAATTAGCCAGACAATGGTGGCACATGCCTATAGTCACAGCTACTCACGAGCTGAGGTGAGAGGATCACTTGAGCCAGGAGGTAGAGGCTGCAGTGAGCTGAGATCATGTGACCACACTCCAGGCTGGGCAGCAGAGTGAGACCCTGTCTGAAAAATAAATGCATAAACTAACATAAAATTGCTATAAGGTGAACATAAGAAAATGTGTTCATATTCTTACGTTAGGCATTGATTTCTTAAATAAGACACAAAAAGCAGTAACCATAAAGGAAGAGATTGATCAAGTATAATTTTTTGAAAATTAAGAAACTCAGCCTGGGTGCAGTGGCTCACACCTGTAGTCCCAATACTTTGGGAGGCCAAGGCAGGTATATCACTTAAGCTGAGGAATTCCAGACCACCCTATGCAACGTGGCAAAACCTCATGTCTATTAAAAATACAAAAAAGGCTGAGCATAATGGTGCTGCCCTGTAGGTCCCAGCTACTTGGGGGCTCAGGCAGGAGGATCACCTGAGCCTTGGGAGGTCCAGGTTGCTCTGAGCTGTGATTCTGCCACTGCACTCAGCCTGGACAACAGAGTGAGATCCTGTCTCAAAAAGAAAAAAAAAAACAACTAGAGAATCTCCATTCATGTAAAAACACCATTAAAAGAGTGAAGAGGAAAAGCCACAGTTTGAAAAAAGAGAAATGCCATACATATATATTCTAGAAAGGACACATATCCAGAATAAAGTATTACAAATCAACAGAACAGCATATCAATGAAAAACAGGATACAAAGATTGAACAGACACTTCACAAAAGAGGACATATAAATGACGATCAAAAATACTCAATCGCAATACCAGGAAAATGCAAAATGAAACCCACTGACTATTACTGCACCTCTACTTTGAATGGCCAAAATACTTTTGAAGCATCAGGAAGGATGTGGCGAAACCGGAACAGTCCCTGGCTAAATGGCACGAACCACTTTGGGAAAATGTTTCAACAATATCTGATACTAAAGTTTTATCATTCATGTACCTCTCAAACCAACAATGCCACTCTACATATAAACCCCAATCTAGTAATGTTCTATTTCTGATCTGTGGTGGTTCACTTAGTAAAAATTCATTACCTGTACTTTTTTTTTTTTTTAATTAAAGAGACAGGGTTCACCATGTTGGCCAGGCTGGTCTCAAAAATTCATTACCTGTACTTTTTTTTTTTTTTTAATTAAAGAGACAGGGTTTCACCATGTTGGCCAGGCTGGTCTCAAACTTCCAACCTGAGGTGATCCACCTGCCTCAGCCTCCCAAAATGCTGGGATTACAGGAATGAGCCACCACGCCCAGCCTCTGCCATCTAGGCCGGAGTGCAATGGCACGATCACTGCTCACTGCAATCTCAACCCCCTGGGGCTCTAGTGATCCTCCCGCATCAGGCTCCCAGGTAGCCAGGACTACAGGCACACACCACCACACACAGCTAATTTTTGTATTTTAGTAGAGATTGGGGTTTGCACATTTCCCAGGCTGGTCTGGAACTGCTGGGCTCCAGTAGTCTGACCACCTTGACCTCCCGAAGTGCTGGGATTACACGTGTGATCCACTGCGCCCGGAACACCTGCACATTTAAAATTGTGAACTTCTCCTGTGTAAGTCAAGAATTTTCGAAGATTTCTTTGACACAAGTTCTCAGAAATCTTAAAGCTAGAATTTTAGAATACAAAATAAAAAAAGCTTCAGCTTCACTGGTGAAAATTTTACTAGTAAAATATAAAATCAAAAAGAAAGCAACTAACGCATATCACCTCAGTACAGAGATTAAAACTACCAGCAAAAGGCCGGGCGCTGGGCTCACCCCTGTAATCCCAGCACTTGGGAGGCCGAGGCTGGTGGATCACGAGGTCAAGAGATCAAGACCATCCTGGTCAACATGGTGAAAACCCCGTCTCTACTAAAATACAAAAAAAAAAATTACCTGGTCATGGTGGCACGTGCCTGTAATCCCAGCTACTCAGGAAGCTGAGGCAGGAGAATTGACTGAACCAGCAGGCGGAACGGAGGTTGCGGTGAGCCGAGGATCGCGTCATTGCACTCCAGCCTGGGTAACAAGAGCGAACTCCGTCTCAATAAAAAATAAAAAATAAAAAATAAAACTACCAGCAGATCACTTTAAACTTCCTCAAGCCCTGGGAGTCATTCCTTCCGCAAAGAAGGATGGACAACACTGTAACCCGAAGAAAAGATGGCACTGCAGGAAAAGACCTTCCCGTCGGAAGCAGCTTTACCAGCAAAACACAGCAGGAAAGCGAGGAAACCATTCCAAAAGTCCTGCTTGACTCCTGGTGAGAGGATGCCAAATGAGATCATCTAAGAAGCCCCACAGACAGACAGACACACAGAGAGACAGACAGACAGACAGACAGACAGACAGACAGACAGACAGACAGAGACAGACAGACAGACAGACACACAGACACAGACAGAGAGACAGAGACAGACAGACAGACAGACAGACAGAGACAGACAGAGAGACAGACAGACAGAAACAGACAGACAGGCAGGGAAATCACAGCAAGGCTTTGGAGCACAAACAGCAGCACCACAATCCAACCTACTGCAAACGCTGCGGTTAATTTCAGGCTTGCCCCGCTAGTCCTCAGGCGATTCAGTGACGGCTGCAAACGCTCCTCTAGCGCATCCTGGACCTGGCACGCCAGGCTTGCCCGCCACCAGGCTGGAGACAGCGCCAGGCGCGGAATCCCGGACCCCAATAAAGATGCAACTTCGCACTTCAGGGGCCAGAGCGCTCTCGTCCCCGCAGGTCCCCAGAGGGAACCGATTTCTGACCTCGAA